ACGAGGGGCCTGGACATTGGATGGCAAGATGATCGATGCGCCGGTCGTGAAGAAGGCGCATGCGATATTGAGACATGCTGGGATATGTGAGATGGATGTAAGCGCTGTCAAGGAGACATGGAAGGGACAGGAGCCTGAGTAGCTGCTAATGCATGTTGGCATCTTCATATTGTTCTCCTACATGATGACCGTGAGAGGACCGTATGGCTCTGATCTATACCGTAATCATGACACTGGCGTTCTTGTACCAGCTCAGCAAGGGGTTGTCACCATTCTTCGTCGTTGTCTCCGCAATGTCTGCTCTGCCGGCCATGAAATCTTCGTGTAGGTATGTTCGTGCGAAGCGTCCGGTTATCGACGTGTACATTGGTTCCATGACTTCGAAGTCAGTGGGGAAGAGTATGTCAAAGTAGCCTTGGTGCACCTGGGATGTATTAGTGGCTGCCTTGTAACAAAACAGGAATGAACTCACAAGAGGTGTCGAGACGGGAATCATCTGCCTCTTATACCTCGTTTGCACAACAGGCGCATTGATACCCTCGACCGCATCGCCCAGCTTGTGGAAGTCGCTGCTAATCAACTTGTGGTTTGGAAACTTCTCGTACAGCATGTAGAAGAACTGCATCAGCCGCGTAGGGATGTACTCCGGCATGCTCATATTAGAGCGGAACGGTACCAAGCTCTTCAGGTTGTTCATGAGTCGCGAGCCTTGCAGCGGATGTGGGTATGTGGTACAGGCAGCGTGTCTGCGCTCGAGGAATTGGGTAACGAGGGGGTCTATGGTGCGCGAGTAGTATTCGAAGAGCTCTCCACGAGGATCTATGACGACGTGGGATTGATATGGGAGGCCTGTTTCGAAGTCGTACTTTAGGGCATCGTGCGCGAAGTTGTCGAAGACTTCCAATGCGAGGAAGTAGCAGGGTGAGGAGACGTATATGTTCCAGTCAAAAACACTGCGATTTATGATTTCCACTTTGTCAGAGTGACCTCGCGCATATGCTGAGTGTCCTAGACCCTTCTGTTGCAGGTCGGCCAGTTGACTGGAAATTTCGATGATCTTGAACTTGGTGCGCTCGTACACGTCTGGGTGCACATCCCGTATGAAGTCGAGAATGTTCAACATCATTGTACCGTTACCCGCGCCCATTTCGTATATGTTCAAATCATGGTATGGGTAGAAATTGTACTTGTAGTCCTCGACGAGATAGCGCGCGATTGCTTCTCCGTAGTAGGGCGAGAAGAGTTCGGTCGGCGTATGCCAGAGCTGGCGTAGGTCATTCGGTTCTTGGTAATCGAGATCGTCTTCGAAGGCAGTATAGCGGTGCCGCAGCTGCTGGAAGAACTCGTGCTCAGAGCCCATGGAGTTGAAGTCGAATGGATCGCCCGGAGAGAAGATGACGACTTGCTTGGAGAAGTAGCCGTAATTGGGGTTGTACAAGCTGTCTTTGAATCCATCAGTATAGTACTACACCACAGGCAAGATTCCCAACCTTCTATAAAGTCGCGCAACAACATCTTGACTCTGCGCGGTCTTTCTCTCCTACTCCGCAGCATGTCCGCTGTGACCATTGGGTATCTCTCAAACTCTTCCGTCCTCTCGTGCGGAAATGCATTCTTCCTCGGCGTCCATCTGCTCTCGCGCTTCGTTTCTCCCTCACCCAACCGTGTGGCCTTGCCTCGTCTTTGGTGGTGTGGTATGCGGGCGCCTGCGAGCGCTGGTCGAGCTCCGCGGGCAAGACATTGCGACGCTCGATGCGAGAACAGCTGGCGGAAGAGTTGCGTGGCGAGCGGCGAGTCCATTGGCGCCAGGGACAACTGTCACGAATGCGTTGCGACAGCAGTGGTGGCTGTGGTCTTCCGCGCGAATGCACGTGGTGAGCTTTGCGGGCAGCCGCGCCAAGACGGGGATACCACCAACTCCGATCGCGTCAACTCTGCAAACTGCACGCCACAACTCCTGTACTTTCCAAAATGTCGGATCGCTCCAAGTATTATTTCTTGGGCGCTTTCCTGTTGGGGATTGCTCTGACGACTGCATACAATAAGAAAAGGTTGATAGAAGGGACTGATGACGCAAATCAGCTTCTCACACAGCAGCAAAAATGGCTATCGCAACTCGCAAAAATTAATGATCTGGAAACGTTGAAAAAGAGCTTACTAGAATTCGGTGGTGGACACGGCGCAGTCAGCATCAAGGAAGGCATCGAAGGATGCATAGGCGACACGCCCCTCATCAAAATCAAGTCACTTTCGGAATTCACGGGATGTGACATACTTGCGAAAGCTGAGGTAGAGAACGTACATGAATTTGGCTCAACGTTAGCTAACGTGAGCAACAGTTTCTCAACGGAGCCGGCAACAGTCCAAAAGACAGAGTCGCTCTAAGCATCATCGAGATGGTAAGAGAAGACTCTACTCCGCCTCCCGTTTATATCATTTATGTTTGCTGATTCTCATACCAGGCTGAAGAGAAGGGTCTTTTGATCCCACATTCTGGTGACACCATCTACGAAGGCACTGTGGGGAGCACTGGCATATCATTAGCCGCTATCTGCAGAGCAAGAGGCTACAAAGCACACATGTACGTCGTCATCTGACTCAGAGGTGTGTTGGCTGACAAGCGAAGCTGCATGCCAAACGACATGGCAATCGAGAAGTCAGATCTCCTGCTGAAGCTTGGTGCTGAAGTAGAAAGAGTGCGCCCGGCGCCTATCGTGGATCAGAAACAATTTGTCAACCTCGCACGATCGCGAGCAGAAGAGCACACTGCAAGTTTCGAAAAGCCGGGGAGAGGACTGTTCGCCGATCAGTTCGAAACGGAAGCCAACTGGCGCGCACACTACACTGGCACGGGACCTGAGATCTATGAGCAAACTGGGCGTCGTGTGGATGCTTTCGTTAGCGGCGCTGGCACCGGAGGAACTATCTCTGGAGTAGCGTTGTTCCTGAAGTCCAAATTACCCGACATCAGGGTCGTCCTTGCGGATCCCCCTGGCAGCGGCTTGTTCAACCGCGTCAAGTACGGTGTTATGTTCGATCCCAAGGAAAGAGAAGGAACGCGGCGGCGACACCAAGTGGACACGATCGTTGAAGGGATCGGCATCAATAGAGTGACTCACAACTTCGACGTTGGTAGGGAGCTGATCGACGATGCCATCAGGGTTAACGACGACCAAGCAATTTCCATGGCGCGCTGGTTGGTTGAGCACGATGGAATCTTTGTTGGAAGCTCTAGTGCTGTAAACTGTAAGTTGTGAAGCGTTCAACAGCAGACGGCACTGACTTATTGAAGGCGTCGCTGCCACGAAACTTGCAAAGACACTTGGCCCTGGGCATCGCATCGTCACCATTTTATGCGACAGGTAAGACAATGTCTCAAGACTCCGAGGATGTACTGACTCCTTCACAGTGGAGCAAGGCACTTGAGCAAGTTCTGGAAAAATACCGAGCCAGTTGGTGGCGCTGAGAACGATGTGTCTCTCCAAGCCATTCTCGACGCTTGAGGCCTCCTTCCATTAACGCTATCTGCCTTCAGATACCTGACGCATCCAAGGCCTTCATTTCCATTATCTAACCCCACCCACAGTTTTCGAAAACGAAGAGGTTGACAAATTCACCGCTGGTCGTGTCTGAAACGGAGCTGTACAGCGGCGTTCAGATCGTGAAAGATTTGCCAACGCATCACAATGTCAGCCAACACGCCACCGCATCCTTAACAAGGGTGATCAGCCCCCGCCTTCATCAAGCACTACCATCACTACCATGGATGCGCAACATTGTGCAGTAGCAGCCTTCCATCATCCACACGGAGACAATGGACACGTGACAGAAGAAAGACAAAGGTTCTACTCTTCACGAGATACTGGGAGTCAGAAGAGCAAGTCTTGAGCGGCGGTGTCTTAACAAAGAGCAAAGCTCCAACAAAACCCATTCTTCCGACAGCCGCCACGCCCGTTCGTGTCGCCTTTATATACTACGGCGACCCCTCAACCCTGCATGCTACACACTCCCGGCTGGTTCATACCAAATATCGTCGCACACGTCCTCCCGCAGCAAACTTTCTTCATTCAGCAAGCCCTTGCCCGACCAGAATCTCTTTAGCAAACGAACATATGCCTAACCGACGCATGAGCGATACAAACGGAATCAACAAAGCAATAAGTCCTACATCGAGCATTGTGCAAAGGCGAATAGCAAGAAAGATGTCACCATGGAACCGCAACCTAGCCCTCGCAAATAAAATCGCCGAAATGCGCCTCACCATCGCTCCCATAGTGCACGTGGAGACAGGGATACCAGCACCTGAGTTCCCCTCTACAATGCTCGATCTTTTCCTCCTCACCGAAGCGCAACTCGACGCGCTAGCCGCCTACTATTCCCAAACACATTCAACAGACCTCACAAACCAATATCCCCAGACAATGAACTGGCAACAACCCTTCTTAGACGCCAGCGATACCTTACCCGAAAATTGTAAACTAGGTGAGCTGGAACGGTTAAAGATCAAGATGAGGATGTTTGCGAGGTTCATTGGTATGAGGGGTGCAGATACGCCGCGGTGGGAGTATGATCGTCAGATTGAGATCTTGAGGAATAAGATCCAGAGGAGGATTATGGATGAGGAGGAGAAGGTGCTAAGGAAGTTTTATCAAGGTCCTATTAGTAGGCCATGAGGGCTTCGAAGGGTGTCGGGCGTGCCGGTCATGCGTGAGGATGAAGGGAGGTTGCAGCTTTGTTAGAGCGTTGCCATGACGAGCTTCGTACATGGCAGCAATGTATCCTCTTGATTTTACCTTCCCGTACCCCAAAATAAGTGGTCATATTGCAGCAATACGTGGACAGGGTATTAGATGTGTGTGATTCTGGTAGTACCGAATTATCAACCGTGGGTTCGCAAACCGCAAAACCATTCCGCATACCTCACACAATCGTATAAAATACTTCCAACACCCAACTTAAGACTCCTCAGCTCCTACATTCAACATACCATCCACGCCACCATGAAGCTCAGCATCAACATCCTCCGCCTAGCCCTATGCGCCGCCGCCGCCGCCACCGCCTCCGTCCACCTATCCGAATCCCAGCTGCGTCAAAACCCCGACACAATCCCTCTCGCAGATCTCGAACCCACAACACCCCTCAAACAAGTAAGTCAAGAACACTAAATCCCCCCCCCTGCATGAAAAAATCGCCTAACAAAACCTAGTGCTACAACTACTGCATGGACACGCTCAAGTACAAGGCTCGCCGAGGTGGAAAAGGGGATTGGAATTACATCCGCTGCTTGAAGGCATGCAAAGAAGATCCGAACGTGAGTGGGACTAGGATAAACGTCTGAGCGATTCCGTCGGTGGGGTTGTGGACTTGGGTGTGCTGACGATGGTGTAGTATGCTGAGCAGCCTACTGAGACGTGGCGGGCGATGTTTGTGCTGCAGGCGAAGGACTGTGAGCGCGTGGCGGATGAGTTTATGAAGGAGCGTCCGCGGGATGTTATGGATCTGCCGGAGCATTTGAAGCGTTTGGGGTGTTGAGAGGGGCGTGGTTTGCGTTGCGATCGAATGGTTTGGTGTACTGAGGTGCATGCATACTGTAGTCTTCTAACGAGGCGTTCAGCGGCTTTAATAATCGAATACGTTCACCCACCCACCAGAGTGCAAGGACGATGACGAGCGTACAACCAACCACAGAGGTGTCTAAGCCCAGAACACTCACTCTACTCCATACATTTTTCTTCTCTGGCACATGGTCATTGTCTGATCGCTGATTTAAGACGCGCGTCTTCGAGATGTTGAGCGTTTTGATGATGGCTCATTGGATAGGGTTTGGAGTTCAATGGATCAAGGCATCACTCAAGGGTTCAGGGACTATACCCCCTCAACGGTCTCCGCAATGAAGCGATCTCACACTGGCACTTCAAAAGGGTCCAAATCTATTTAACTAGCCAGCCAGCCGCGAACTTTTAAAATTCATCTCCCTCAACATGAAGCTCCTCACCAATATCCTGGGTGTTGTCTCGTGCACTGCTATTGCAGTCACTGCACAGGCACCCGACCCACAGCAAACTTCCGACATTGAAATTACGAAAGCCCAGCCCAGTGGCCCCGTATCCGAAAGCAAAGCCGGTACCGATGTATGATTTGAGAGTAGATCTCAGCAGCATATGAAGTCTGACGACACGTAGTGTGCGAAGAAATGCGTTAGCCCTCTCTCCCAAGAAACCGAGGCCGAGTGGAATATCGCGATGTTTTGCTTGGAAAGATGCGAACTCGATAAAGAAGCAGCGGTATACCTCGGATATGATGATATGCTCAGGAAACTTGCTACGCCGTTGAGTGCAGTAAGTTCCAAATCTTACTCTTGCCAGAATGCGTCCCTGGAAAACTTACTTATTCAACTCAGACACCCAACTCCTATGGCAGAGAGGCTTATGGCAAAGATGGCCAGGGATTCGAGCTGGTAAGTTCGCAGCAAGGATTGCGTTTATGCCGGTGCTGGAAGAGATGTACTGACCGGATGACAGCACCGAGAATTCCTTGATGCGGACAGTCTTTTGGCGTTTGAGGAAAAGCTCGAGAAGACGGCCTGGTTCGATGAGTCAGACTCAAACAACCAATACAGACACGTATTGGAAGATATCGAGAACCTGAACAGGCAGTTCACTCTTTGTACGACAGATGAGGCAGAAGGACTGGGAAGAAAGGGGAACTCCGAAGAAGATGTCAAGCGAACGGCCGCGCTGGGTGATGGACCGTTTGAGTCCCTGCCAGCAAACGAAGGCACTGACGCTCCATCGTACGGAGATATCCTTGATAGGGACAGTGATTCGCCGTCTGCGGACGAGGACGAGGACGAGGATGCGGAATAGGCGGAATTTCTGAGCAGCAATTGGGAACATGCCAAGTCGATCAGTGCCTTGTGGGATACTAGGAGGTACGTGGTGGAAGTCCCGGCAGAGACGGGTGTCTCATCAGAGGGTTCCAAGCGATATTGGGTGCATACGTATGACGGTCGGAAATACGGGCCGTACGACATCAAAGTTGAAGCAGAGTCTGGACTTCAGGCGCCGGCCCGTCGCCAGCTCTACGCGTAAAATGCCAAAGAGCCTTCTTGTGGTTCATCTCGCGTTGATGGAGGGATGAAGTAGGGTAGAGCGGCTTCTCCAGATCATTTGTAGTACCTCGGGGGTGGTGATACTGTCCAGAGCAACGATAGCTGAACCTACATCTCCTCCTGGATCGTGCAATGTACCCCCATGCATGTGAGGCTGTGTATACCAACGGCAAACCTTGGAGGCTGCTGATGAAGAGCCGCAGCCGAATTGACCACCTCACGCTAGCCCTCCGGTAGAACTATACCTCTTCCGTCCAAGCACCAAACTGCCAACGGCCCGGGAGATCGACAGAGCATCGGCAAAGCTTCGCTCGCGTTCGCCCATCACTCACCCAGCACGTCGCCAATATTGCTATTTCCCCGCTCACGATGCGCCCGAGTCCCCGGGTTCTCTCACGCCACCACCGACCATCGTGAAAATGCCACCACGCGCGCGTCCCCGTCACCGACCCTTGACCATCGCGACCATCTGCGGTACCGCGTCGCTCATCCTACCCACCGTCACGCTCATCCGCCTCTACACCATCGCGGCGCTACCCGTACACTCGCTCATCTACGCCGGCTTCATCAGCGGAGTGACGTTCCTCTTCTATGGCTACGATAAGATGCAGGCGCGGAATCTGGAGTGGAGGGTCAAAGAAGTGACGTTGCATACACTGGCGATAGTCGGAGGGTGGCCGGGAGCATTGGCGGGCATGCACTATTTCCAGCATAAGACGAGGAAGGTGAGGTTTCAGGCTGTGTTCTGGGGGATTGTTCTGGGCTGGGAGGGGGTCGCGTGGCTGGTGTGGAGTGGTGGGGTACAACTTGGATGATGAGGAATTGGAACAAGTCTTTCAAGACGACGGGGAAAAGATTTCATTAGGGATATGGGAGGCCGTTATGAGAGCCATGACGGTCGTGAGAGTACGGCGCAAACCTGCCGGGACGGTACACAAGGAGAAGGCTACCGTGAGAGGAGCCACAAAGGAACCACCAAACGCCTACCGAGGGTATGTCCAACATTCGCCTTCTGCTGTCGTGTCGCTACTCCGCTTTCTTCCGGACGTCTCTCTGAATCGTCTCCTTGGATACGATAACCCATCCCCGAAGGCATTCGAGCAATGCCCTCAGACACGCCTTCACCACCTCCTAGTGGAACCGGTCCGAGATCTTCTTCGATACGTCCTTGGTCTGATCCCAGACTTGGGTCGCCGCTCGGACTGTACAAAAGAAGAGGCATTAGCGACCGGTGAGCGGAGATGTGAGTCTATCAGCGCTTTCACCAGCTTGCTCTCCAATGGGATTCTGCATGGCGCCGCCCGCGAGGTTGCTGATTCCCTGCTTGAGGTTCTTGACGTCTTCTTGGTCGGAGGTGGGGATTTTGTTGATTTGGTCTGCGAGGTGTTAGTGTTTGCGGCATGGTGTTTGTGAGTATGGAAAGACTCACCCTTGGCCATGTAGGACATCTTGTTCTCGCCCATGGTCTGGAGGGCTTGCTTCTCCATCTTGCGCTTCATCTCCGGGGAGATACCGAAGAAGTAGAAGTAGCCGGCGGCCAAGGCGATCAAGCCAGCGAGGATGGTGAAGATGCCGATAGCCATAGTGGAGACTGTGCGGTTGCTCGTTTGTGTGTGAGAGTTTGTGAGGAAATTGGTGTGTAGTGCTGCTACAGAGGAGATTTGGCAGAATAAAGAAGTGATGTGCGTGGTATGGTGGGTGTTTGTCGATCAAGGCCCAGATTATGTAGACGGGAGGGCATGACGTAGGAATTCCACATGCAAACCTGCGCGCGTTGCGACTGCGGGACCAAACGAGCGGTTCCTTCTTGGCATGAACTGGGCCCTACCTGCTGTGGCGCGTGCATTCTGAGAGCATTGAAATGGTCGCGTCTCCAAGCTATAGTAGAGTCATACTGCGAATGCAACTGTGCATTGTCTAGCGGCCGTTGGTGTCGGCATACTAGAGCAGACCATTAGGGAATATACGAAAAGTACGGCCTCTTTCGTACCAGAAGAGAGATTAACTGTTCGGCTCTTAAGGATATGATTAAGAAGCTGCGAGCAGAGAGATGTCTATGCTTCGCGAGTCAAGATGACAGTCCCTGTTGAGCCTGCCCGACGCGTGTATACTGCAACAGAACGTGTACGCAATGTCCGCCCACTCATCTGATAGTACGTGGTAGCATCGACCTGTTCAATTGAGCCTGACAAATATGGCATGGAGAAAGCGTTGAGGGCTGCTGCTAGGTTTTGAGCCATCCGCTGGCGCTGCGCCTCAAAGGCTCAAACCCTGGAGGCCGCGAGGCGGACACGAACATCGAATGCGCCTGCCCCACAGCCAGGCTAGGTACTACTCCAGCAAGCCTTCCAAGACGCTCGACCTTTGTTGCTGACCCGGTCCAATTCCGTGCCTCCTTTTCACGACTTTCCTTTGCAGCCTTGCCCTTTGCTCCTAAGACAGCATTGCTACCTAACTGTTGTTTCTTACCCCTCACCCACCCCACCACCAGCTGAACGCGCCTGATAGGCACCCCAAATCTCACCCTCAGCCTGAGACGACGCTCGCGGCAGTCGTATAACTGCTTACCAGCTCGCCCATCATGAGTTGTACTTCCCTCCCTGCGGTGCGCATTGCCATATCCAGGACTGACTGCTGGTCTAGTGACAAACATGCTCAACAAGCTGCACGGCCAGCCCGACAGCTATGATCGCAAGTCTGTACCCTGCTGCCCTGCGCCCCGACGTGTACTGAACATGCCATTCACAGATCACGATACCGCTTCGGAAAGACACTCGGCGCCGGAACCTACGGTATCGTCAGAGAAGCTGACTGCCCCGAGGGCAAGGTCGCTGTCAAGATCATCTTGAAGAAGAATGTGCGCGGCAACGAGCAGATGGTGTACGATGAGTTGGAGATGCTGCAGCGCATGAAGCACCCTCACATTGTCAAGTTCCACGATTGGTTCGAGTCAAGGGTACGCGCGATACGGGTCCCTTCTGTGGGACTGTGGAGCTGACACCTGCCAGGACAAGTACTACATTGTAACCCAATTGGCGACGGGTGGAGAGCTCTTCGATCGCATTTGCGAGAAGGGCAAGTTCACAGAAAAGGACGCCGCTGAGACAATCCGACAAGTACTCGATGCAGTCAACTACCTCCACAAGAACAATGTCGTTCACAGAGGTATATTCTCCGCCTCGGATCGGATGCGACTACAGCAGCTAATTCCGAATAGATCTCAAGCCAGAGAACCTGTTGTACCTCACACGCGACGCGAACTCCTCCCTCGTACTTGCGGATTTCGGTATCGCCAAGATGCTCGACTCGAAGAGCGAAGTCCTGACCACCATGGCTGGCTCATTCGGATACGCTGCTCCTGAGGTCATGCTCAAGAAGGGTCACGGAAAGCCCGTTGACATGTGGTCCATGGGCGTCATCACATACACACTGCTGTGCGGATACTCGCCGTTCCGGTCAGAGAACCTTGCGGACCTGATTGAGGAATGCAAGAACGGTCGCGTCATCTTCCACGAGCGCTACTGGAAGGAAGTGAGCCCGGAGGCCAAGGAGTTCATCAAGAAGCTGCTAGAGCCCAACCCAGACAAGCGACCAACCAGTGAAGTACGATGAAGCAGTCAGGGTCTGTTGGAATGCACTAACAATACTAGGCTGCCCTCAAACACGTGTGGCTCAGCGGAAGCACTGCTACCGACCACAACTTGGTGCCAGAGATCAAGGCGTACGCGGCAAAGGCCCGTCTCAAGCGCGGCATCGAGCTCGTCAAGCTTGCCAACCGCATCGAAGCGCTCAAGATGCAAGAAGACGAGGAAGAGGATGTACCAGGCGAGGCAGACGTGCCCGCCAACGCGCGCGAGGCTGCCGGCGAGGCCATTGCATCGCATTCCGAGGACAAGAGTCTGGCAACCAAGGAGAATGCAGACACAGGCAAGGGACCTGGACGCCTAAGCAGAATCGCAAAGGGCGCAATCTTCCGGGAAGTTGTGCTAGCCAAGGTGCGCGAGATGAAGGAAGCGGAGGCGCGAGCAGAGTTCGAGAAGAAGGCGTCGGAGCCGGTGCAGAAGTGAGAGAAGTTCTGGACGACTTTCCTTGTTTCTGGCGTGATCCTACAAACATGTTGAGTTTGCTGCAGTATTAGCGGAGGTCTCGTTTCCCAAGTATACCCCTGGAAGATAGCGACCAGGCCCCACTACCTAGAAACAGTTGATTGGCTGAATTACATTGTTTGAAGCGTGATGCTGCAAGTCCAAGTGTTTACTATTTGCCGTGGCCATGGTGTGGTGGAGGACGCATCTGGTGATGCAAGCGGACCGTGCGCGGGGGCTTGGCAAAACTGGGAAGCCTAGATTGAACACTGCGGCGCGTCCACCGGGTTGACGACGGAACGCGCATTTCACTGCACCGCCGCCACGATCCCTACAAGCCTCGACTCGCTCGGCAAACCACTCAGTCCGACTACGCGATCACGAATCAACCGGAAATGGAGAGCGCGGCCAAGCGCAAAGCCGCGAGTGCTGCAGCAGGCGACCACGACGGGCGCCCTGCGAAGCGACAAAAAGGGACGGTACGTGCAGGCTGTGGTGGTGGGCGATGCATCGTCGGGCGTGTCCTGGAGATGGACGAGGCGTGATGGGCGCGTTGCGGGATGCTCCTTAGTCCAGCAGCGCGACACCTGGGGGGTTCGAGGACCAGGCCATCACCCCGTCGGCCCCTCATCAATCTCTCAACACCACGCGCGCGCCGGCGATGCACTCAGCCATGGCAGGAATTGGATCAGATAACAATGAGATCAATGCTGACAGGAGACCGCTTCCGTGCAGGCCGAGACGCCCAATTCGCGATCAGAGACGGTCGAGTCGACCACGACGGCAGGCTTGAAGTTCCTCGACAGCTTGAAGCAGGCCAAGGACAAGACGTACGTGACGCCCTCCTTACGCCTGTCGCACTGGCAGCTTCCATACTCCCCAGTGTGCCGACGTAGGAACCCCCACTGACAACTTGCAGCGGACGCCCCATCGCCGTCCACTTCCTCACTCTCCCCGACAAGGTATGTCCCCGTTGCGCTCCCTCTATACACCAGGTCCACTGACAATTGCATGCAGGCCGAGGTGCCCGACTACTACGAATTCACGAAACTGCCCGTTGCTATTGATACCATCGAGAACAAACTCAACAACGGCGAGTACACGTCCCTAGCTCAAGTCGAGAGCGACTGCAAACGACTGGTCAACAACGCAAAGGCCTTCAACGACAAGAACTCCGTCATATACCAAGATGCCGAGCGTCTACGCAAGACCGCTTCCAACTGGATGGTCAAGCACAATCCCGCCTACCGTGACGGCAACTATGTCGCAACAGCCACCCCGATCCCAGGCGAAGACAACTCCACCCCGTCGAAACCTTCCCCCCGCGTTACCTCGACCCCAAGAACCGCCCACGCACATACACCTGCCACGCAAGATACAGCCGACCGCCCTCGACGCGCGGCCGCCATCGCGGCGTCGGCTACACCAGCACCGTCAAAGTTGCGACAGTCGGCGTCTGCTGCGCTGGAAGAGGACGATGATAGTGCTGATTATGCAGGCAAGACATTCCAGCAGGCACAGGAGCAGATTGTGAGGGAGATCCTTGATTATGAAGAGTAAGTTGCGTGCTCCGTGCTCTAATACCAGCCAGCTAACGCCCTTCAGCCAAGGACTGCAGATATTCCTGCCCTTCCAGAACCTCCCGTCGCGCAGCTTGAAGGACTACTACCAGCTGATCAAAGACCCCATGTCGCTGGCCGCCATACAGAAGAAGGTTCGCGGAGTAGTGG